CAGAGTCCATATCTCATATTATTGTAATCAGACAGATTACACAAGCACTAAAGCTCATTCTTAAGCCTGATGAACTATGGCCCCAAACGAGAGGACTAACAGCTGAAGAGTAGAGCACAGACTTTGCATTTGTTTAGTTAAGGAAACTGTATTCTGAATTCTCTTGCATTTGAAAACCCGATTACACAAATCAAAATGACAAATATAAACAACCACAACAATAAAATCAGCTTCAATAAAATGCAATACACTCACAAATATGTGAAGATGGTTTATACAGAGTCATACAATTAGTCTATCAAGGTGAGTACTGCCTATTCTCACTGGCAGCGGATATCCAGGATTTCAAGCAGAGGTTTTTCACATCAGCTACTACATGATCCTCTTCACTCGAGATGCTGGAACTTCCACCAGTGAGCCACAGTCCCTACACACATTCACTCCTGAGCATGCACAACTTCTGTCACTTCAGCAGGGCTGAGAGAGACGTCTGCCTAAGACCTTGGAGAGCCATTATGAGTGAGAATAGACTGTAGCAGACTAGACAAACCTGGGGTCCAATTTGGTATAAAGCAGCACATGTCTGATAAAGCCAAATTATGAGACTGATGCTTTATATTCTTAATTTAATCTGAACCACCAGGGATAAAATTTCACAGGGCTAAGGCTTGGTAAAGAGACCAAAATAATGCATTGCTTTGCAGTAACCACCAGCAACAAAAAGTTAGTGTACCTTGATCACATGGAGAAGTTGGTGCTGACTTTGATCTGTCATCTTCTCCTGGTGAGGATCCAGGAACTGGTGGCTGAGATTCAGCACCTGGAACAAGCTAAGAATAGTCCAATAACAGGGAAGTTTAGCTATAAGAAAGCAACATTCTGATGTAATAATTATGAGATAGTAAAAATGCAGTTTCAAATGTAAGAAAGCTGCTGCACAAAGAAGGTAACTAAAGTTGCCACCTGTTTGAAGTTTTCAACATAGTGAATACAATGAAGTTTTCAACATGGTGAATACAATCTTTTCTTTTAAAAGATGAATGGATAGGCTTGCCAAATGCTCCAAAGAAATCTAGATAAAACTCCCAATTAGACACACGTGAAAGTTGACCCCAAAACACCTCTGAAACATGCTATTTTTTCTTGAAGAATTTGCACTTTTGATTCCAATCCTGTCTGAAACAAAGACTAGAATTCATTGAGAAACCTAAATACTATTTTATCAGAGCAGGATTTAGTGGACTTCACCCAGATTTAAAGATAAGGACCCTTGATAATATGATAGTTGGCAATCTTGGCCAACAGCAAGAATGAATTTATGTCAATTAAGTGATCTAATGGCATGTAATGCAGCTCTAATAGCCATGTGGTCCTATATCCTGCAAGAAGGAGATCACCTGGGCACCATATGCATAAGGCAAATCATCCTAAATTGCCACCTTCTTAAGAAGAGTGAGCTATAAATACGATAAATTCAGGACTGAATATAAACTCTTCTTTCCAGTAACAGAATAGCACTTCAGACTGGGTAAAAAGGGAGGCAGCTAATTTCTGTTGATTCCCCTTTCTCACCACAGACCCCACCCACACCACATACCCTATGCTTCCCAAGAATCACTTGACTCTCCAAAGTGAAAGCAAAAAGGGTGTGGCAGCTAAAATACATTATTGGGTAAAGTTCTACCCTGGATCCAACCCATAATTAATAAATAATGAAAAGTTGCTCATGCTTCTAGACAGTCATAAGCTGATGTACAAATGCACAGACCTGGCTCTCCCCCTCCCTATTGCACCACCCAAAAACATCTACTGTAAAAGATTAACAAAAATGCATGGAAGGGGCAAAGGAACACTGGAGGGCTGTTCACTCCCCATTCTTTTTGCTGGGACTTTTGCAGGACAGGTTCCCAATGGATTTTGACCTTGGGCTGCAAAGTTCAGAATATTTACTGTAGTCTTATCATTAGTACAGAATTAGTAGCTTGATTTTGTGCTCTAAGCATATTACTTCTATTGCTCTTACTGTTGTGGCTGCAGCATATGGCACCATGCTACCCTACTCATACAACTCAGGAACTCAGTACATTATTATTGATTAAGCGGCCCACTTGTCTACATGGCTCTTGCCTACACATGTCACCACAGCACACTGGAACCACACCACACTGAAACTGCTGTGATATAAAGGTATCAGTTGAAAAGGCCTATAGTCTGAGTTCTGATGAACAAGATGTCCCCAACAGCATATTAAATACATATATTTGAAGTTCCTCTGCATTTAGAAGGGAAAATAATCCAGAGACAGACCATCTTCAACCTTAAACCCCAGTGTAGGGAGCAGTATTGTCTTAAATCTCTCCTCCTCATAATTAGTTTTCTCCTTTAGCAGATGGGAAATGAAATGGAGTGACAGAAATTTGCCTAAGCTCGCACACATAAGCCTGCAGCTGACCCTGAAATGCAAGGTGAGGAATTTATTGCAAAATGTCTGTGCCGCCTCACTAGGTTACCTTCCTGAGGTGGCTTACAAAATCCTCCTGTACTTAACTTGCTGCTGGGACAGCTCAGCTAGAAATCACACTTATTGAGATTCAATACAACCTGCTACGATATCTTTCAGAATCAAATGTCAAAAACATTGACTAGGGAAAGGGTTCTATGGAAGAGTCTCTGAGCTGAATGATATTGACATGTAGATTCATATGAGCAGTGATACAGTGTCAGAGAATGGATGTAGGATTGGGGATAACTCCCTGGCATGGCTTCCTGTGGCCTTTTTAGATATCACAAACCTTGCTACATCAATGCAAAATTATTCAACTGGCTAACCAGACCAATAACATAACAAGATGGATTGCCTTACTAATCTTGACAATAACGTTTGGGAATGAATTGCAAAACATGTCAATTACTGTAAATCTCTGGTTTCTCAAATGTATAGATATAAAAGAAAATTATGTGTAATTCTGGAACATCGGAAAATATTAGATGGTTTATGATCTTTGTCCCAATGTGCAAGTGATCAGCTTCTGCGGAGTGACTTTACAAACAGCTGTTGAATCCAATTCTCTTTTTGAAGAATGTTGTTTCAGTTCATGTCCATTTGTCATATCATTGAGGGGAGGGTAGCACATCTGGCAAGAAATGAGCTTGTGCCAATTTTTCAACAAGATAAAAATATTTCACATGTGTTCCCACAAGGGGACTTCAAACCAGCAGCTTTAATGTTTACATGGCTTTCTGACAAAAGCGATTCCTTCTGACAACTGAAAAATAATAAAGTCCTCCATGACTCGAAGTCTTTTCAGGGTTTCTTCTAGCTCATATTCTGACGTACAGAAAGTACGAAATACAAATGCGAAGGAGTCATAGCACTCAATTGCTATATTATTTCTACAAAAACCAAGGAGACTGGCAGCAGCTCAACCACCAGAGGCTGAGCAGCCTTAATTCAGGGAGATAACACGTGCATTATGTACTGAAGATCCCAGGTTCCACTCCTGTTAAAGAGATCTCAGGTAGACAGACTATGGAAGATCCCTGCCTGAAACCATGGAGAGTCACTGAAATTCAGAGTAGACAGTAGTAGGCCAGAGGGACAAGTGATCTGAAGGCAGCTCTGCATATTCAGGAATCCTGTGGCACTTTAAACAATACGAAATGTCTATTCTAGCATAGGCTTTCATAAACTAGAATCTATTTCATCAGATGCAACTGGCAAAGACATATTCAGTTACACATACAAGATACATATCTCAGAAGGGTTACCCTGAGTCAGTAAGTTCTCTCTGCATGAACAAAGTGTAGGATATTTGAACTGCACTACTCTGAGTTATTTCCAAGTTTGTATGGAATGATCCACATATAAATAAGAAACATGAATACGTCAAGACCCCTCCACCTATGTACTGTACAGGAAAGCAGGTGATGCTGCAGAACGCACCTCTCCCTACATGACCACCTTACCCTTGTCCTGTGCTGCTAGCTAGGAAACGTATTCAAAATAGTTATTGGCTACTTCTCCATTAAAAATACTCATATTCAAAAGTACATACAAAATGAAAATATATCTAATAACAATCATGAAAAATAGTGGGATGAAAACAGCAATTAAAGCTATTTCAAAGCAAGCAATAAAAACAATAGCACAAAAACACCAAGGGCGCAAGATGATCAATTAACAAAATGTCCAGGTAATTTTTTTAAAGTTTGCACCCAGCACCTGAAACTCAATGCCAGGCTCACACAGGAGCAACTAGTCCATTAGCAACCCTTGACCCAGACTGGAAAGAGCCCACTGCAATGGGTGCTCATTTAACCACAGCAGCAGCAGTAAAACCCTGTTTTGAGTACTGGTGTTTGACTGCACTGGCTCTATTCTCTCTGGCAGCAACTGCTTTTCCCTGAGCAGCCAGGAGGAAGGGAGCTCCTGTGTGACCTATCGGTAATCTATTGCCTCCTGAGCAGGCACAGGAAGGGGCAGAGGGCAGCCACTACAAGTAGAGGGATCTTGATATACCCTCATCTACAGGGTAATATGTGAACTGGTGCTGCAGTTCTTTGTATGATGCCAACATCCAGTAGCTCTCATTTAAGATTACATTTTTGGTTACCTTCTTCCTTCTTTGTCCACTATTAGTGATCTTCTCTGGAGTGATGCCCAGGTCTGTGAGAACTTTAGCTATCCCTCGAGCATCCACTCCACAGTTTGGTGCCACATTTGATTCACAGCGTCTATGTACATTCATCTTGCAAACTGTAATTTAAGCCAAAGGGAAGGGAGGAAAGACCAGGGTTAAATTAGATTAAATTGTCTTGATATATCAACCTCTACCTTTTACTGTATATAAATCCCAGTCTTGAAGGACAACAACATGCCCTGTAATGAGAATATGATTGCAATATGAAGAAAGCTGAGCTGCATTTGTGACCAGTTTGTGTCATGCACTTAGCATGTATCATTACTGTCCTGGCTCAGACCAAGGCCCATCTAGGCTACCTCAACAAGTGTGGGCAGCAAAATGCACCTGTTGTTTCTGAGAGTATCTGCACGACTTCTGCCAAGACTTTTTAATATGCTCCAGAGTCAATTGGTATCATCTGAATGAAAGTAGAAAGAATACCAGAAGGGGTAACAGGAACCTTGGGGAAAGGAGTAGAACAGGGTTGGAATGAGTGTGAAGGCACCATCTTTTAATTCTTGGTTTAAGCCCCACTACCCAGCCTTCTTGTTTCATAATGGCTGAACTCAAGTGGTAACAAGGATTTTGCTCTCCCAGCAATTCATTAGGGAAGTCGCAGATGTTGGTAAGGTAGCAGGGCTGGCAGGCTGCTTGGACAAGTAGGGGAAATTGGTGTCAGTTCCACTACATGCCTCTGAAACCAAGGAGGAGAGCTACGCAATCATTGAAAGATAGGAATTCTCCCTTAAATGTTTTTTGATGGGATTTGGCAGGTGGGAAAAGGCCACAAACAAGAACTGAGAATTTGGAATTTCCCCAGGAAGCTGCAATCAGGGAAACAGTCACAGGCTAGAGGCTTTATGTGGTACGGATCCCAACTAAAACTATTAATCTAACCAGGGCTATTTTTGGGCAGGAACGCACAGGAATGGAGTTCCGGCTGGCTCCCAAGCTGGCCATGCCCAGCAGGAACTCATTAGCATAATAGGCCACACTCAACAGCAGAAACTCATTAGGATTGGCTACAATTAGGGGTGTGTGGCCTAACATGCAAAAAGCCCTGGGTTTTGACAACAAACAAGGTAAAGAGAATAAGAAGCAATAGGTGAGTATGGCTGGATAACCACACTTCTGGTAACATGGGGGTGTGACCTAATATGCAAATGAGCTGCGTTGTCAGGGTGTGGCCTCATATGCTAATGAATTCCTGGTGTTTGGTATGGCCTATTATGCTAATGAGTTCCTGCTGGGCTTTTTCTACAAAAAAAGCCTTGAATCTAACAATGCACACTTTTCATGTGACAAAGTGAAAATGAGTTTTTGCTTGGCAGATATTTTAGGATGTTATGGTCACTCTCTCTCTTTTGTGTGTGTGTGTGTGTGTGTTTGTGTGTTTAAGGGAAACAATTAAGCAACACTTTTATTGACCTACTTTTGTGTGTGTGTGTGTGTGTGTGTGTGTGTGTAAAGTGCAGTCAAATCATAGCCAACTCATGGCAACCCCACAGGATTTTCAAGGCAAATGATTAAGCACAGGTGGTTTGTCATTGCCTTCTTCTGCAAAGTCTTCCTTGGCAGTTTCCCATTCAAGTACCAACCCTGTTTAGATTGGGCTGTACTATACCATTCCTTATCTTAAGCTTCTTTTACATTGGATTTATAATACATTTTAAATGGTTGTACATTTTATTTTTGTAAACTAACATAATTTTTTGAAACTGAAAGTACTGCATATAAGCACATTGAATAAAATATTCAACAGTCACCCCTTTTCTTTGCTTGTTTGTTGATAAACCAGTTGCACTAGTATAATGCCTTATATTAGAGTGCCATCTTGTGGGGAAAATCCACAAATGTATACCAAATTGTAAGCACACTCCCTTGCTGTGTATCTCAGAAGGGAATATGCTTGCCCCAAATAAGGCTGGCTTCAAGATCACTGCCTTAGTCCATTTTAGAGAAACTATAATAAACCCGGATAACATTCACTGTGTTTATTCCTTATCTTTTAAAGAGAAAATCTATCAGCTCCGTTTTCTCATCCCTACTAGCATCAATGCATCTACTCCTACACAACAACACAAAATGTAAGAAGAGCCCTGAGAATCACCTCAAGGGTCTAGCAGGTATTGCCTTTTGTTTGCAACAATGGCCAGTCCAAGGCTTCTTGGACCCTTACAAATGAGATACGAAAGTAGCAGCTGTCACCAATGATTTTGTTCCCCCCACACATATTTCGTATTCAGAGGTACACTGCTTTTGAATACAAAGTTTCTCTTTGTATGTGATGTCTAATCGCCAGGGATATACAACCCCTACCCATCAGTAAACAGAGATTGTCTGCCAGTGTCAGTGATTCTGTCTCTCTACCAGAGCTAGGCCTGAAGCCGTAAGGAAAGGGGTCAAGAGCAGATATGTCATTCAGGAAACTTTAGAGCTGCTGTGCCATCATGCGCTCAAGTAACTTCCCTCCCAAAGGCAGGTTTGAAACAATCTTTTAATTAGCCACCTTGTTCTTTTTATCAAGTGTTGATAAAGTAGCTTATCACATCATTCTCTTCTTCTCCATTTTACCTTCATGGTAACAACTCTTGAGGTAGGTTAGGCTGAGAGTGGGGGGGGGGAGAGAGAGACTGGCTCAAGGTCACCCACATTGCTTTCATGACTGAGTGGGGACTGAAATTCCTTGAAACACTATGATATTCGAAGGAGCTATGGGGAGAGACTGATTCAAATCAAAGTAATGGAGCATGGGGATGGGGTGGGGGTAGTCCTTTGATCTACTTTCCACCCCCACCCCCAAGATACTGTTTGCCTTGAAAGTTTTCCCCCAAGTGAGAAAAACAAAAGCTCGTGGGTGGGTGGGTTGTGTGAGGTTGAAAATATAGTATTGAAGGAAAGAGTAAAACCCTTCCTGAATGAAGATCTTCCACAGATGCAAAATTACCCAGGAAAAATTAGATGGAATTCCATGGAACTTCCAGCATCCTGTGTGGTCTGATGCTGAATGAAAGGCATTGTGTACAGTACAGGTCAGTAGGAGTCTTTCTCTCTGAGAGTGTATGCCTGATTCTGCCTCCAAACTCTGCCTGAGGGAGAGCACTTTCTTGGCCATCCAAAGGAAGAAACAAATTTTGATGTCCATGTAAGCTTTTATGCTATCTGTGCTGCTCTTACTGCATTGTATTCTAATTCTTTGTTTGTTTTGGCACATTACATCTGTTACTCTTCACAGTGTTTCTCTTGCATTGTTTGTTAAATATTTCATGCTATCAGGCTATTTGATTGTTTTATACTGTATAATCCATCTTGAGACTCAGTGAGAAAGGCAGGCTGTAAATACTATAAAGTGTGTAACTAAATAAGATAGGGGCTCAGATCCATAATCTGTAGCTTCACCAGGCACTCAAAGAACTTCACACCCTGGAAACTCCCTTAGGAAAAGACCAAATACCCAGCAAAGCTGCCGGGTAAGGATAAAAATCGGGCTCTGACCCTTTGCATTCTTACCTACTGCTTGGCTATTTCGGTGCTCATTAGAACAATTCTGAGATAGGTCTCAAGGGGAGCTCTCCCAGGTCCTGCAGAATTTGACTTTCTCCTACCATCCAGATCTTAAGTTCTGAGACATGACTAACCATCTATTGAGCTGTGCTGGATAACTCCTTTCTTTCATTATTTGAATCATTTTTTTAAAAAATCCCACCTTTCTCTCATCAATGACTAAAACCAGACTGAAAATTTAAATACCACACATAACAGGTGAGCTGACACAGCAACTGACCAGCCAACACAATCCTGTATTCAGTTAAGGCCCAATGAAGTAGCCTGGCCTTACAAGACTGCTAGACAGCTCTAATACCTTGCACGGAATTACAGTTCCAAACATACACAGGAGGGAGGAGACAACTGGTGGTCAAAACTGCCATCAAGTTGCAGCCCACATGGCAACCCCAGAGGGTTTTCAAGGCAAGAGATGAACAGAGGTGGTTTGCCATTACCTGTCTCTGTGCAGCAACCCTGGTCTTCCTTGGTGGTTTTCCATCCAGGTACTAGCCAGGGCTGACCCTGCTTAGCTTCTGAGATCTGATGAGACGGGGCTAGCCTGACCCTTCCAGTAAATAACAACTGAAATAATTTAAGTCTCTAGTGCCGATACGGTGATAAGAGTTTGTCAAGGTTAGGTCCTACCAGATTCCCCACTGTATCCCTCTCATTTCCCCTTCTCACTGCAGCCTCCATCCGGCAGGGCTTTTGTTCCCAAGGGTCTTACTATTTCCAGGATAGTCTTTTTTCGCCCCTCCTACCCTTGTTAGCTAGCAGAAAAGCTGGTAGGATCCAACACAGAATCTTTTCTTGCGTGAAATAACCCTTTACAATTCAATTGAGTGTTTGGACCATACCAGGCCATTCAAATATCTCCACTTTGCCCTCCAATCCTCTCTCTGCCTTCTCCTGGCCCTGCTCTGCCCCTCCATTGAGCAGTGTTGCTTCAACCTCCTCCATTATGGGGATATTTTTTGTGGTTGCAACATTATGTACGGGCAGCTATATGTTAAAGGAAGGCTTCAGAAATATTAGCTTGCCAAGGCCATGTAATTCCTCTGATAACATTTCACGCCTGACTCAACAGAGTGACTGGGGTACTGGGAATGTTGTGTAAAGGGCAGAGCAGAATTAGCAAATGTGGGCAGGCTGCTATGCTTCATTTTACAGCAGATTGTTCCTGGGAAACACATATGCAGCTAAATCCGGAGCCAAATTGGCGTGTCATTCCCCAGTCAAGCTGCCCATTTAGGTTTACTGTTCAACTTACTGTATTATTATTATTACTAGGAATAAGGCCCATTGTGGAAATAAATACAACGAGCTCTAGAAAGAGGCTCTGAGAGAGTGCCCTGGCATTGGACACTCAGCGTGCTGTGGTGACCTCAGCAGGGTATAATGACACAGAGTCCACCATTTTCTCCAGAGGAACTGATCTCTGCTACCTGAAGAACAGTTGTAATTCTGAGTGAACTCCACCTCCACCTGGAGATTGGCAACAATGGTTCCCCAGGAGGAAATGGCTGGT